AAGAAGAAAAAGAAGACGAAGATGGGAAAAGGGATGGGAATTCGATTAAACGTCAAACCGAGTCAACGAAGGAGGTGATACGATGGAATCGATAATCCTCGTGCCAACGCCAAGTTAATTAACTCTCTCTCTCTCTCTCTCTCTCTCTCCCTCTCTCCTACATGATTTTCGACGAAACCATTATTCGTCCTCCTCCCATACCTCGTATTTACCTCAACACCGCAACGATAATCGCTTTCCGAATCGATCGAGAAATCGCGTAACAATCGACTCGACGACCGTCTTACGCTCGTCCATCGGAGCTACATATGACAGCGTCACCAGAGGGGACAATCGAAGGATGTAGACGCGCATAAAGAATGCTTCTACGAAACGCGACGGAGGCCAAGATCTCTGGAAACAGATTTATGAAAAACAGTTTCTCGAGCAGGACGTTTCTTAGGAATAGAACTCCTTACCTCGTGTACACGATCGTGCACGACCAGGGATCACAGTGCAACGTGTGTGTGTGTATATATATATGTATATATATATATATATATATATATAATAATGTGCACTAGAGTGTGTATTGTGTGCGTGTATTTGCGTATCTATCTCTATCTCTCTTCCTCTCTCTCTCTCTCTTTCTCTCTCAATCTATCTATCCATCTCTCTTTCTATCTTCTCTTTATATGTGCGTCAACGGATATCCGTGCGTTTGACAACACTTTCCGCGAACGAACCCACGCACCAAGAGCACAGCACTTCACTGCATCGCTCAAGCATCTGTCCTTGCACGCGCTCGCCTAAACTCTGCTCTCTGTATATTATTACGTTACGTGCGTGTACTTTTGTACATAAAAATTCATAGCGCGCCGATCGTGCACGTGCACGTGCCCCTCCCTCCCTTGAAACAGGATCTCGCCTCGTTTAATCGCGTCGAGAAATCGGGGCGAGAACGCTTGCTTCCACTTTCAACAAATTTTTTTCTCTCCGCCGAGCGAAATATATCGCTGATCGGCTTAATATCGACGCGTCACACCGTGATATTCGTTACGATGCCTCGTTACTTAAGAAAGGTAAACTTCGTACTTATCTAATATACTTTAAAGAGAGTTTATTAGTTTTTTTTTTTTTTTGATAAATCGTAGAATCGCGAAAGGAGAGTTTCGAAATTCTACTAACTTGTTTCCTAAGAAGAAGAATTTTTTATATTTAGAAATCGAGAGAATCGTAAGAGGATAAAAATTTCGATCACGTGTCGAATCGTTACGCTGAAGTATCGCGCAAGTTTATTCGTCGAAATCCAGTTTAGTTTCTATAGATTTTTGCCCGGGGTAACCGATGCTTTTCGATAAACTCGATCGACCGTCACGTTTTCGAAAAATAGGCGAAATCGCTCGTTTCCTCGATCACGTCCCCCGATCGTCCCGCGATCGTCCAACGTGGACGTATCGTCCGCGGAAGGAAGAGGAGGGAAAAAAGGGAAGTCGATAGACGAAGTGCCGCCCACTTCAGTCGTCAGAGTGCAGAGAAAGTTACAGGGAACCGATCGAGTGGCGCGATTTCAAACTCTGAAGGAGGGGGGGCCCTGTTCCCATATTCGAGAACGCACGTGCACGTGCCACTTGTACATAAATATGCTGTTGTCGAAGCATCGATATTCTATTAACGTGACTCGAGCCGCCGTTTCTTTCGCCCAGCGATGCGCACTTCACCGGCCCCGAAAGCACCCCCGTATTAACCACCTCCCCGCTCCTCCTACGTATTACCATATTACCCACTCGTTCTCATTCAACAAGCTTCGATTTTCACCGGCAATTTTCATAATCGACGTCGAAAAAGGAGCACGCAACACGACGTGTAAAAGCGCGAAACCCCCCCCCCCATCCTCTTGCTCCATGTATAAACGCGGCTGAATCACGGCTCGAAAGCAATCAACCGGAGTGGTTGTAACCGATCGATTGTATTCCACGGGGCGAGAATTTGCCGCGATTCGTCGGCAGCGAAAGTCCGTTTATCGGCGCCGCGCGCGATACCGCTTCAATTCGGCGAGCCACCGCGAATTAATTGCGAAAGCTTGTCGGCCGAGATATTCGACAAGCGTGCGGCCAGAGGGAGGCGAGAGGAATCTTTGAAACGAGGTAAGGGGGAAAAAAAAAAAAAAGAACGGGGGATCGATGAAGGGGGGAGGGAGTCGAGTTCATTAATACGATCCATGGCGAGGGTGGATTTTTCGCGAATTTCTCGTGCCGCTCGTAACCGTGGAGGGGGCAGGGGCCACCACCACGCGGGGATGGAAAAGTGAAAAGCGATCGACGAAAAATTGTACGCCGTGTCGTTGGCCACGGTTAAATATCAATTACCGCCCTTGTTCCACCGTTAACGCCAGTTTATTCGTCGAAATTCGTTCGTGGGAGGAAGAAGCGCGTTACAACAAGCGGGATACGATTATCGCGGGATCGTTTCGCGATATTAAAAAAAGGGGAGGATCGTAGCCGACGTGGCTTTGTAAAAGGGGGGAAAAATGGCGCGAACGAGCACCGAGTCAAAGAGATATAATTATCGGCTCGTGAATTGGGATATGTAGTGATTTGAAAAAAACGAGTTTAACAGGCGTTTCTTTGATCACGTCGATTTTATCACGTGGATTAACTCGACCGGATTAACGAAAACAACGCGAACGAAAATGAATTTTGTCGAAACGGCAAAATTTTCCCTTCTATGGGAGGAGAGGATTGTTTGCGATTATACCATTTTTATCTGTTTCTTTCTTTCTTTTTTCTTCGATGGATGACGATGAGAGAGGAACGCGCGAGAGAAGGCCTCCAACGAGATTCCGCACGGCGCACGGTGATCGCCAGTTAATTCTTAATTGAAGGGATTAAACGCGTGTTGCGTAACCGATCGAACGGTCTGTTCATTGGATTTCGAATAAAAAAAAAAAAGAAAAAAGTAACTGCTACGCCCGCTTCATCCAATTAAACAAGTTATTCTACTGATATTGGATTAATTCGTAACGCTAGGATTGAAAAATTAGCGAGAGAAATCGAAGCTTCAAGAATATTTAACCAAATGTCGGGTGGTTTGTAACGAAATAGGGGATTAAAGGAAAAATTGGTGCTTGGGCCGAGTGATGTCCGCAACGCGGATTCTATCTCTATCTCTTTCAAGCTATTTGTTTCTACATAGATGATCGCAATTTCCTACGATTTTCTCGCGCATTAAAGACACTTGGATCGCAACGATCGAATTTCCAATCGAAATGCCGATAAATGATCTTTTTTTCTTTAATTCGAGTAATCGTGTTTTTCGTAATGTTTCGTACGCCAAGTGTCTTAAATGCACAAGCTTCCTGTCTCGACCGATGTTGCAGAATTTTCAACGTTTCCACCTTTGGGCGACGTGTAAATTCCACGACACCGATGAAAGAAAAAAAAAAACCGTCCGTTCGATGTGTGTGCTCAACCCGAATTCTTTCTGTTCCATGAAAATATATCACTTATGTCCCATGATTACCATCGAACACACACAAACAATTTTAAATATATATAGATATATATATATACGCGAATTCTCTATAGCGTTTTCTGAACCGCTTTTTACTGGAATGCCATCTTTTGTCTTTGTATTGTTCTTTCAGTGCCACCTAAAATCACGCCTTTCAGTTTTGCTCGCGATTTAAACGTAGGGGACCGTACTAGCGTACAGTGCGTGGTCGTGACTGGCGATCTGCCACTGACGTTCACGTGGCTCAAAGATAACGTCCCGATAGAGATCAGGACGTCGCAGGATGCTCCGCCGTCAAGCCATAGCCGCGTTCAGGCCCCGGCCGGTCCTGGAGACGCGATTAAGGGGCCCAAGCGGGGCCCCAAGGCCGAGGGCCAGGCCGAACAGTCCCCGAGAAAGGCCATTACCGTCCGCCAATATGACGCTTTTACCAGCGCCCTGAGCATTAGCACGATCGCACCCGCGCACAATGGCACGTACACCTGTCGCGTGGCCAATGGCGCTGCCACCGTCGCTCATTCTGCACTCCTTCACGTCAACGGTAAACGCACACCGTTGGTGTACTTTCTTCGTTCACGCTCTCACTACGACGCAGAGGTGTGACGCTTGCTTTCCTACTCTCTTTTTTCTCTCCCTTCCCCTCTCGCTATTTTCTTCCCGATATTTCAACCCGCCTCATCGATCTCGACGTGTCAGCATGCACCCTCCCTCCCCACCGTCCCGACACGTCGCAAGATCGTCAATTTTATTATGTTCTCAACTTTCGTTCTTTCGATCGGTTCAGCGTATTTGAGAAACGATCAAAAATTCGAACGACTTACTTCGTCCTGGCGTTCTAGTCGATACGCCGCGATCATCCTTACCGACCCTATACTTTGCTTCGATCGATTTAGAGCAACAAAGTTATATATGGTATAGCCGAGCTCGCGATTCGTGGAACATAATAAAGACAGACTGGCAATTTTCCAACCCGGTGGATTATGTGCTCGCGCTGGAAAACTAACTGATTGATCGGTCGGTAAAGAAACAACGAAATCCAACTTTGGTACACGCGCGATCGATCAATCAGCGACTCCTCGAACCCGTGACGCGATCAATTTTCCATTCCGCCTTCCGGGAGAGAGAATTTTTCGACTCGATCGCGTCACTTTCGCGTCACCTTCTCGAAAGAATCGATCGAGAGACCTTAAAGTCCATAGACGCTATCATCGTTACAAACGCGCGTATCGAAGAAGCCGAGAGTA